TTTCCCTTACCATTAAAAAGTGATGAATTACTGATGTTAAACAAAGATAAGTTGTTATTGGAGTTCTTAAATGGAATTTGGAAAGTGAAAATATTTTTGTAACTGTGCAGGTTTTACATCTTTATTCTTTATTTGATATCATTTCATTAAGCAAATAAGATTGAAGTAGCATATGACTTACTTTTGTATCTGATGGATGCCTTGTATCTGCTCATAGATGTTGTAATCTGAACATTTTATTAGTAAATGATGTAGGGATGTCATTAACTTGACACTTCACTTTATTTGGCTCACAGTTGCCTGATACTCTGTCCATATGATGGAAAAAAAAAAAAAAGAACTTATTACAATGTTGCTTAGTAATCAACTAATTTGCACATTATGCATTTTGACCTTCATGATTACATTACAATTATCCCTTCTCCTTTTTTCCGACACTTTATTTACTCATGTTCCTTTTTTCCGACACTAATAATGGTGTAGGGATGTCATTAACTTGACACTTCACTTTATTTGGCTCACAGTTGCCTGATACTCTGTCCATATGATGGAAAAAAAAAAAAAGAACTTATTACAATGTTGCTTAGTAATCAACTAATTTGCACATTATGCATTTTGACCTTCATGATTACATTACAATTATCCCTTCTCCTTTTTTCCGACACTTTATTTACTCATGTTCCTTGTGAACATCAGTTACTTGACATATTTTTCAAGAAAAACAAGAATTTTATTGATTGAACAGAAGTACTACATCATGGATGCATGTCCTTCAGTTACAATTATCCCTTTTCCTTTTTTCCGACTCTTTATTTATTCATATGCTTTTTGAACATCAGTGACTTGACATATATTTCAAGAAAAAGAAGAATTTTATTGATTGAACAGAAGTACTACATCATGGATGCGTGTCCTTCACTTACAATAATGGTTACCATGTAAAGTTGGTATTTACTCCGTTGTCTTTATTTTTGTCAATATTCTATGGGAATGAGATGAATCGAAATGAGTTGCCACATGAACAGCAAAAGGCACAAAACTAGATGTGTCTATTTGTGGATGTTAAACTATTGATTTTGCCCCCCATAACCGTTTTTTGTGTTTACACGATTAGATTGCTCAATGGGGTGGATTTTTGGTTGAGGAAATTTTGAGAATGTTATAGTTCAGTTGTTGGATTAAAAATTTGTTTGGAAGGATTTTAAAAACTGGGAAATAATATGGCTAGGAAATTATAGAGTTAACTTGCAGCTTGATTTCATGCTCAATTTTCTCCGCTTTGGCAATGGAGCTATGGGTGAGGGCAAGTGTGAATTTTTATTAAATCAGCTGGTTTAGTATGGTTGCTTCAGCTGGGATTACGAAAACTTATAAAGAGATAAATGTGGCTGAGAAACAAGTTTAGTTGAAATGATTGTCTTCAATTTCTGAATGGTTTAATTATTTAATCTTCCAATGGTTCTTATTATAGTTTTAATGCTAGATAAATCTTGCTTATGTTAGATGTCTATTTTGTAGAGTATCCAATAACTTGTTTGTTCAAATTATTTCTTCATGATCCAATCACTGTGTCATGCATGCAAGCTAGCCCATGTTTCTTCTAAGAGAAAAATTTTTCTAGAGAGCTTACAACCTCTAGAGAAAAAATAAAGAGAGCTTGTAAGATTTTCTAGAGGTTGTAAGCTTGAAATGTGTTTCTAATTTCGTTTGTAAGCTTGAAAACTGTGTTTATAAGTGTATTTTTACATTGATTGCAAGTGTGCTTGACCTTATAAATAGTACAAAATTTGAATTTCATGCCTCTGCGGCCGACGATGACAATGACGATGATGTGGATTTGTTTGGTGAGGAGACTGAGGAAGAGAAGAAGGCTGTTGAAACACTTGTTGCAGTCGTGAAGGCATCTCTGGAAAGAAGAAAGAGAGTAGCTTTTGTGTTCCGTTTATGATCGAGTTTCTCCATTACTATTTTATTTCACTTTGAAGCTTCTTTTTATTTAAGTGGTGTTGTATCACAGTTTGATGTTCAAGTGTATGGATTCAAAAATTTGTAATGAAATTATCAATTTTTATGCAATTCCAAAATTTGTTCATAAGGTGTATTTTCAATTTTGCCAATCAATTTGCATAAATTGCAATTAAAAAAAAAAACCCTACGGCAACGTTCAAAAAGCGTTGCGAAAGACAATCTTTCGCAATGTTTTGACAGTTTTTCGCAACGTTTCTTAAACGTTGCGAAAGGCCTACGGCAACGTTTCGTATCTTTCTACTCTACGACAACACCCGGATTTGTAACACACGTCCAAACATTGTCGTAGACTATTTTTGTTGTAGTGTATTGTGGCTATTGTATTTTTTTTTTTCCTACAATCTGATATTGGATTAATTCGATAACATCTCCATTTTCACAAAACTTCCAATTAGAAATTACGTTTGAAACATAGGTTTGGTGATCGGTGCATCACTATTTAAAAACCAACTCATCTTTATACTATTTGGACCAATAGTTTCCTCTCTCCTCGTAGTACATGAAAATTCATGTAATCGAATCCCTATCAACTGGCTGCCATAGTTTGTGAGGTTTGCAGTTCGATGGAAGTCAGTCTTGTATTGGTACTTCAATGAATAAAAATGATAATCTTATATTGTTACCTTTTTTTATATATAAATGAAAAGTTAATTTTTATAGAATTTACGAAGATTTAGTATCTTTGTGCAAGTGGATGGGGCCTAAAACAATAGCTTTAATGCAAAACATTATAATTAGCATAAAAATATATATAAATGAGAAATGCATATCTTATATTGATGGAAGAGGTGTCTCTAATTCTAAAACAATGCAGAGGCTGTGAGGACAACAATTAAATTACTTAGATATTCTTGGTAATTTGCTCTTAAATCTTATTGCAAAGATGACAAGGAAAAGACTCAAAAGGTTTAATGAAGAATAATTAACATTTTACAATAAAGATGGAGAGAGAGAGAGAGAGATTCTTAAAAAGCACTAAAAAGAACAAGGAGTGGCAACAACAAGTAGAGGGTGCTTTTTATGGACAGTGCTTCCAACGGCTTCAACCATGTCCAAATCTTTTGTTCCAATTGGCAATGCGAAGTCAAAGTTAAGCATCAATTTTGCTAATGCAAACTCATTAACAGTTATGGCAAACGTAATACCAGGGCAACCTCTACGACCAGCACCAAAAGGAATGTACTCAAAATTAAGCCCTCTAAAGTCCATTGTCGTGTTTTTAATGAACCTTTCTGGATTGAATTCTTCTGGATTTTCCCACTGCATTGGATCCCTTGCAATTGCCCAAACGTTGATCATCACTTGCGTTCCAGCTGCAATGTCGTATCCCATTACTTTAGTGTCTTGTGTCAGTTCTCGTGGAACAAGTAACGGAATTGAAGGGTGTAGTCTTAAGCTCTCTTTCATCACTGCCTTTAAATAGGGCATTTTCTCTAAATCATCTTCTGTAATCTCTAATTTGCTTCCGGCTACTTGTCTCACCTCGTTCTGCAACTTCTTCATGATTTCTGGGTGCCTTAAAACCTCTGTCACTGTCCATTCCAGAGAAGTATATGTTGTATCCGTCCCAGCAGCAAACATATCCTATCATATATAATGAAATGGCAAGTGAAATTTGATTAGAAAAAAATTTTAATAGTTTGCAATCATATTTACATGTGTTGAAATCACATCTATAAGCTTAAATTTTAGTTGGTATATATTTATTTAGTCTTCTACCTACTTCATGCGTGTGCAAACATAGAGGAGGAAGATTTGGAGAGATACTTACAAAAATGACACTTTTCACGGTCTCATCATCAAGAGTGAACTTTGACTTGCTTTCGCTTTGAATTTCGAGCAATAAATCCACAAGATCTGTTTCAATGCTGCTGCTATCACAATCCAACTTTCCTTGCTTTCTATTTCTATGATCTTCAACTACACTCGACAAAAATTCATCAAATGATTTAGCGAGTTTCTCGACTCTGGCATCCAACCCATTAACTATATTTATCCACTTAAGCCATGGAATGAAATCCCCTACATTGAAAGTACCCGCTAGCTCCATAATTTCCTTCAACATTAACTCAAATTTTGTACTTTCGTGTGCTTCACCACCACTATATTTCCTCCCGAGGGCCAGTCTACATATAGTATTATTAGTAAGTGACACCAGTAAATCACTCAAGTTCGTCAATGATGTCGAAGTAGAGGATGACTGTCGAATATTTTCGATTAAAATATCTGTTTCTTCTTCTCTTATGTAGCGAAAAGATTGAACCCTCTTGTTACTCAAAAGATGATGCACGCATATTCTTCTCACCTGCCTCCAGTGCTCACCGTACGGCGCAAAAGCTATGTCTTTAGAGCCATAAACAATTTTATCAGGAATGCTCACTTTCGGCCTGCTTGAGAAAATGAGGTCCTGAGTTTTCAAGACCTCTCGAGCTGCATCAGCAGACGAGACAATAACTGCTGGCACTCGACCAAGATGAAGCATCATGAGTGGACCATATCGTTTGGATAGTGTTTGCAGTGACCGGTGAGGAAATAGGCCAAGTTGGTGAAGATTACCAATCACGGGAAGCTTTGGTGGAGATGGCGATAACCTTTTCCGGGATTTTGAAGCAAGATTATAGTACCATTTGTAAAGGAAAGTGACGAAGAGAATAAAGGAAACAAGAGGTACAACGAAATTTGAAAAAGAACTCATTTTCTTTTCTGAATTCTTAAACAAAGGAAACTTGCATGATAATTTCCTTATCTTCTACTATTTATATTGTGTCTCTTCTCCCTGAACGCCATACAATTCTTTAATCTTCAAAATAAGCCATGAGGTTCTTGTAATAAAATATGGGTCATCAGCCCGCCGAATGAGAGTTGATGCATTTTGTTATTCTTCCAAAACGTGTTAGCACAACGACATGAATGTGCCCCTACAAGCATTGAATTAAAATTCAAACCTATTAGGTTCGGAGAATATTGGCATCTAAAATAATTATGTTATTTCTTTGACCCCTCAAATGAATAATGATTCAGACATATCTTGTTTGATAATTCCTCAAATAAAAAAAAAAAAAAAAAGCCATATCTTCTATCTATATATTAAAAGTGGCTATTTAACGGAATTTCTTGTTTTTAACGGAAAAATTAACGGAATTTGTTGTTTTAACGGATTATGTAACGGAATTTTTTATTTTAAATATGCAGCTGCACCTTCTTTCAATATCTTTATTATAACTTTGTATTCTGAAATCCGATTGATGCGATTCAAAATGCGTTGGAAAGCTAACTCATCTGACTACAACTTTGATTCAAACATCATTTTTCCAATTCGATCACTTTCTATGCCAAAAATAGGTCTCAATATGAGACTAAAACATCGGAACATAATTTTTCGGTTGGAAATTGATTTGTGATCATCTTTTGACTAAATTTGATTCCATTGACGTCTTCCTTTATCCAATTGACTCCGAGCACTCTCAAATCTTCATCGTGAGATTCGGCACAACTTTTA